TTATTTGCCATTTCTACTTCTTTGTCTGAGAAATGTCTGTTCATTTCAGATGCCCATTTTTGGATTGGGTCTTTAAATTCGGGAGGTCTGATCTTTTTAAGTTCTTTATAGATGAATCTCTCTGTTGTTTCGCAGGTGTAAAGAGGAAGCCCGCCGGGCCTGCCGAGCAGGAAAGAAGCAACTGGTGAGCTTGCTCGCCCTGCAGCCGCATAGCAGTGTCCTGGGCTGGCTGGGAGGGGTGCCCAGCACTTCCAAGAGTGGCCTGCTTGGGGATCAGGGGAGCAGAGCAGAGGCTACGGGTGGCCCAGAGTCCATAGTTTGTTTTGTTTTATTTTTTGAGACAAGGGTCTCACTATGTAGCTCAGGCTTTTCTTGAACTCACTATGTAGCCCAGGCTGGCCTCAAACTTGCAGTGATCCTCCTGCCTGGCCCCCCAAGTGCTGGGATTACAGGCCTATGCCAGCATGCCTAGAAACAGATTATTTTATATCAGAGAGAGAAGGCCTGAGGTGGTCTTCCCACCTGGGAGGGCTGACTTCCTCTTGCTTTGTCTAGCCCTAACCTCAGTCTCCCCGTCCCCAGGCACTAAGGTCCCTCAAGGCCAAGCAGCGGACAGAGAAGCGCATCGAGGCCCTGCACACCAAGCTGGACACTGTTCAAGGCATCCTGGACCGCATCTATGCCTCCCAGACAGACCAGATGGTAGCTGCACCCCTCTCCTCCACTCACAGCTCACCTCAGCCTTGTGGTTCTGCTGTTGTGAAGGAACCTGGGTTCTTTCAGGGCATGGCTGGGCTACCTTTGTATTTCCTGGGGGAAGATTGGGCCCTATGGATATGAGTTGGGTGGCCAAAACCTCCCAAAGCTGTCTCTTAGGGTTCAGCACCATTGTCTGAATTTTTCTGGAAATGTCCTTTGCACTGAGAACTGGGCTTTCTCTTTAGGTTTTCAATGCCTACCAAGCTGGGGTAGGAGCACTGAAGCTGTCCATGAAGGATGTCACAGTGGAGAAGGCAGAGAGCCTTGTGGATCAGATCCAGGAGGTACAGGAAGGGGCTGGGGAGGGACACACATAAACAAGTCACAGAGGACAGATGTGACGTTGCTGCAGCCCCCTTTCCCAGACTTGACCTTGTGACTTTGAAGAGCCTTTCCCTGACTCTCAGATGCTCTCTGACACTGTGGTCCTCTAGAGACCTCGAGATGCTCGGCCACCATTCCTAATACAGGGCTTCGCACTTGTCTCTTACAGCTGTGTGACACCCAGGACGAAGTGTCTCAGACTCTGGCTGGTGGGGTAACCAATGGTTTAGGTGAGTCGCCAGGCTGACACTTTCTCCTTCCCATTCTCCCCTTCTGAGAGGTCTCACTTCTTCGTGCCGTGACAGGTTTGATCACGGACTTCCCCGGTGTAGGAGGCCCCTCCCTGGGACTCACCCACAGGAGGAGTTGGAGGGAATTGCCATTCTTGCTTGATCTACTGTACCGAAGGCCCTCTGTGCTCCAGTGATCCTTACAAGGCTCAGCTTGCAGGTCCTTCTCCTAGGGCATTGATGGTGAACCTTTTAGTGATGCGTGCCCAAACTGCAACCCAAAACCCACTTATTTATCACACAGTGCCAACACTGCAGTTAAATCTGAACACTGAGGTTTGAGTGTAGAAAAAAACAACTCATAAAACTCATGGTATCATTGTAGAGAGGGCTCTATGTGCTCACTGTGGCACGTGTGCCATTGGTTTGCCATCATGGTCCTCGGGCAAAGGGAATCAGGGCCAATTCAGTGGTATCAGCTGCATATACCTCCTTGATGATCTAGCTCTGTGTATGGAAAAAAGGCCTACTTGAGGGTGCCCTTTGCTTCCTAACTTGTTACTCTTTTAACCTGCAAGGAGGCCCCGGCATCTTTTATAGAGCTGGGCTGGGTTTCAGAGAATCCTAGAACTAGAACCCTGGTTAGGGACCCAATGCATTTCCTCCTTGAAGCTAATGTGTTCCTACATTGCTTCTTCTTCCTAGACTTTGACAGTGAGGAACTGGAGAAGGAGTTGGACATCCTCCTTCAGGACACCACCAAAGAACCTTTGGACCTGCCTGACAGACCCAAATGTTATACCAACAGTGTGCCTAACCCTAGGATCTCCGATGCTGAACTTGAAGCTGAACTTGAGAAACTGTCCTTATCAGAGCCAGGTATGGGCTGTTTTCCAGGGTTGCCTGGGACCCTCTGACTGACTGAGGAGCCAGGCACAGAATGGATGGGCTGCAGCCCAACTGCTCAATCTTCCCGGGAACCCAAGCCCTGTAAGGAGTGAGTGGTGGTGTTATTTATATTAAGACTCAGTCCCTTACACACTGGGATGCTTCCATCATAAAGATCTTCCTGCTACAGTGCTGTCATTTCTTCTCCTTGCAGATTTGGTCCCGAGCAGTAAATCTCCAAAAAGGCTATTGGAACCAACTCTCTAAAGCCATTGTAGGACCCTCAAGTGAAGGACCCTCTTGTAAAAGAGAGATCAGCCTCATGTGTGTACATAGTTATTTAAATGAGAAATGCTCAGAATTGGTTGGAAGAGAAGGAGAAGCACCTGGTGTATCTGGATGCTGCCACTCACAACAGGACAGGTAGAATCTCTGGAAGCAGTGCTCCAAAAGCTTGCTCCCAGCTGGTGTCATGGACCTGCCTTCTCATCCTGATAGTGCCACAATTTATACAGTCCCATGTGTGACCTGTTGTCTCTCATAGCCTGCAGTTCTTGCCAGTGGCTCAGTTAAGTTTGTCTTCACCCATCAGCTTTGTTCCAGCCAATGAAGGTGAAAAATTTGCAGCTTTGCCAAATCAAAATCAATCCTCTTCCCCCAGCCCCACCATTTTTTAGAGGGATTTATTCTGTCTATAATGTCCATTAAACAACTTCTTGTCCAACTCCATTTTCATTGGTAAAGAGAAGAATAAGAATCAAACACTTAAGAGTTAAATTTGAAGAGACTTAACAGCTGCTGCTTCATGGAGAGACAGTGTGCAAGATTTTTCTCTGTGAATGTCAAGTTCTCCAGATTCATGCCTGAGTGGGTCAGGGTCATGAAAGTTGGGAGGGGGACTTGTGTGGTCGATGCAGAAGATCTCCTGATGGGGAAAGGGTCATTCTTGGTCATTTGAACTCGAAGCAAAGCTTTTGCCTTGCCCTCCTCATGGAATTATATATATAAATGTTTATTCCAGAACAAGCCACACAGTACCACCCCTCTCTCCCCTTTGAGAGCCTGACTGACACCAACAGGGACCCTGTTTGAATCGGAAAATCATTTCTGGTGCAGCCCACTGCTCAGGATGGTGGGACCTGAGCCAGGATGTGCAATAGGAGCAAGTGGCTGTGGCTTTCTGCCGGATGTGCCATGTGCTTCCTGCTTTAACCCATCCCTGCCTCTGGCAGTCCCATCTTCCCACTTCCTTTGATGGACTGGAGGGGGTGTGCAGGGCAGGCAGGACAGGGTATGAGTGCTCCATCAACAAGGAGAAGAGGTAATCCACACAGCCACTATGTTGCCCAGGTTCAAGGATTCTGCCTGGAGTCCTCTGCCCTACTCCTCCTGCTTTGCAGAGCAGAGGTAGGGAGTTGGCTATAGGCTGGAAGTACGACTGCTCAACAAATTTCTCTCCCACTGAACTTTGGTAAATGGAAAACGTTGGGGGTGAAGGGAAACAATCACTATTTTTTCTTTTTTATCTGGTAAATAATTAAAAGAGAAAACTCTAGAGTTGTCCTTTCTTCTTTAAGCTCTTTCTGCCTCCACTGGCCACCTATGTATCCACACTTCAATTCTAAAATCTCAGTGTGATCCCTGAGCTGTGCAACAAATTGAGCCATGCTCTGGGCATGATATCTGCCATGCCCTGGGCATGACAGGCTTTGAAGCTGAGTGCAGTTGGGAGCAGGGTAGGTCGGCTATAGTGCCAGGTAAGTCAGTAGGTGAGCCAGGTAGGAAAAGTATTGGGAACACTAGCCCAGGACACTTTGTGAGAACCCGAGGCCTGGGAGGGAACTGAAAGAGATGAGCTGACAGGTACAGATGACATCAAGGCAAATGTAGTGGGAGACTCCCACTGGAAGGAAGTGGCCAGGACCTGGTAAGCCTCATCTCTTTTTTTTTGGTACCGGGGATCAAACTCGGATCCTTGCACTTGCTGGACAGGCAGTGGAACCACTGAGCTAAATCCCCGGCCCCTCTCATCTGTTTTCATGTTGAATTTTCCCAAGCCACTGAAAAGTCCTCATTCAGCATTTTGCAAAGAAGTCCAAGGGGCTGAAGTTGTGATATATCTTCATGGGGTCTTTGTGTGCTGCTGGCTCCCTGCTTCATTCTCAGCTGGGTGGTGCCGTGGTGTTCTGCCACTGGGCCTGGACACCATGTGGTGATGAAACCACCTCCAACATCTTCATGGGTTTAGACTGGATTTCTAAACTGGAGGGGGAAGTACCTGAACAATAGGATGTGACTGGACAACCAGCCTGTCAGAGCAAAAATACCTCCAATACTTCCATGGGATGTGGTTGGATATCCACCCTGTCATTGGGAAACCACCACCAGAACCTTGAAGTGTTACTGAACATTCATATTGTGGTTGGGAAACCTCATCTACCATCATCATGGGATGTAGCTGGACATCACATTGTGGTTGGGAAACTGCATTCATCTTCAAGGGATGTGAGTGGAAACCTACCATGTAGTTGGGAAACCACCTCTAACAACTTCACAAGATGTGGCCGAACACATTCTGATTGGAAAACCACCTTTGACACCTTCATGGGATGTGGCTGAACATTAACTTTGTTGTTGGGAAACAACCTCCATAATCTTCATGGGATGTGGCTGAACCTTCAAGCTGTGGTTGGGAATGCATCTCCAGGATCATCATGAGCTGTGGCTCAACCTTCATACAAGTTGCAAAAGCACTTCCAGCATCGTCAAAGGGAGTGGATGAACATTCACACTGTGGCTGGGAAACCACCTCCAGAATCATCTTGGGATGTGACTAAACCTTTACATTGTGGTTGGGAAATCACATCATCTTGGGGTATGGTTGAACATTCTCACTGTGGTTAGGAAACCACCTTGAGGATCTTCATAGGCTTTGATTCAACATTCACCTTGTGGCTGGAAAACCACCTCCAGCATCTTCAAGGAATACGGGGAGACATTCACATTGTGGTTGGGAAACTCCTCCAGAATATTCTTAGAGTATTTCTAAACCTTCACCCTGGTTGGAAAACCACCTCTAGCATCTTCATGAAAAGGGGCCGAACCTTCACACTGTGGTTGAGAAACTAACTCAAGCATCTTCATTGGGTGTGGCTGGACCTTCACACTGTGGTTGGGAAAGCACCTACAGCATCACACAGTGTGACAGAACATTCACACTGTGGTTGAGAAACTACTTTCAGCACCATGGGATGTGGCTAGACCTTCACACTCTGGTTGGAAAACCACAACAAGAATATTTTATGGTATTGCTAAACCTCAACACCCATTGGGAAACCACCTCCAGCATCTTCAGTGGAAGTAGCAGAAAATTTGCATTGTGGTTGGGAAAGCACCTGCAGCATTTTCAAGGGGAGTGGCCAAACATTCATGTTGTGACTGGGAAACCATCTCCAGAGTCTTCATGAGATGTGACTGAACTTTCACATTTTGGTTGAGAAACCACCTCCAGCAGCATCATGGGGTATGGTTGAACATTCACATTGTAGTTAGGAAAGCACCTTTAACATCTTCATGGGCTGTGGCTGAACATTCACACAGTGGCTGAGAAACCACCTCCAGAATATACTTAGGGTATTCCTAAACGTTCACACTGGTTGGGAAACCAACTCCAGTATCTTCGTGAAGTGTGGCTGAGAAACCACATTGTGGTTGAGAAACTTCCTTCATCTTCATAGGGTGTGGCTGAACATTCACACCATGGTTGTAAAACTACCTCCAGAATCTTCATGGGCTGTGGCTGGAACTTCTCACTGTGGTTGGGAAAGGACCTCCAGCATCATGGGCTGTCAGCTAACCTTCACATTGTGGTTGGGAAACCACCTCCAGAATCTTCACAGGCTGTGGCTGAATGTTCACACTGTGGTTGTGAAAGCACCTCCAGCAACATCATGGGGTGTGATGGGACCTTCACACTGGTTGGGAAAGCACCTCCAGCATCATAATGTAGTGTGGTTGAACATTCACATTGTGTTTAGGAAACCACCTTTACCATCTTCAGGGACTATGGCTGAACATTCATACTGTTGTTGGGAAATCACCTCCAGGGTCCTCATGAGCTATGGCTGAACATTCACACTGTGGTTGGAAAACCACCGCCAGGATCTTCATGGGATGTGACTGGAACTTCACACTCTGGTTGGGAAAGAACCTTCAGCATCATCATTGGGTGTGGCTGGACCTTCAGACTGTTTGGGAAAGCACATCCAGTATCATCATAGGGTGTGGTTAAACATTCACATTGTGGTTAAGAAACTACCTTTATATCTTTATGGGCTGGGGCTGAAAATTCACACTGTTTGGGAAACTGTCTCCAGGATCTTCATTGTCTATGACTGAACATTCACACTGGTGGGTAAACCACTTCGAAGATCTTCATGGGGTGTGACTCAACTTTCAGACTGCAGTTGAGAAAGCACCTACAGCATCTTCAAGGGTTATTGCTTGGCATCCACAATGTGGATGGGAAAACTCCAGAATATTTTAGGATATTCCTGAACCTTTGCATTGGTTGGGAAGTCACTTATAGCATTTTCATGAATGTGGCTGAACCTTCACGTTGTAGTTGAGAACTGCCTCTAGCATCTTCAAGGAGAGTGGCTGAACATTCATGTTGTTGGGAGAGGACTTCCAGCAGCACCATTGGGTGCATCTGTACCTTCAAACTGGTTGGGAAAGTACCTACAGCATCATCATGCAGTGTGACAGAACATTCACACTGTGGTTGAGAAAGCCCCTGAACCATCTTTAAGGGGAGTGGCTGAACATTCACCTTGTGGTTGAGAAAACCCCAGCATCCTGATGGGCTGTGGCTGGACCTTCACACTGTGATCAGGAAAGCATGTCTAGGATCATCATGAGATGTGGCTGAACATTCACATTGTGTTTAGGAAAGCACCTTTACCATCTACCTGGGCTGTAGCTGAACATTCATACTGTGGGAAACGCCTTCAAGAATATTCTTAGGTTATTCCTAAATCTTCACACTGGTTGAGAAACCACCTCCAGCACCTTCATAAAATATGAGTGAACTTTCACATTGTGGCTGAAAAATGTCTTCTGGCATCTTCCTAGTGTGTACTGAACATTCACACTGTGGTTGGGAAACCCTCCAGCAGCATTATGGGCTCTGGCTGACCTTTATACTGTGGTTGGAAAACCACCTCCAGGATCTTCATGGGATGTGCCTGAACCTTCACAGAGTAGTTGGGGAAGCATCTCAAGCACCATCATGGGAGGTGTTGCTGGACCTTTACACTGGTTTGGAAAGTGCCTCTAAGATTTTCAAAGTTATGGCTGGACATCCACATTGTGATTGGGAAGCCCCCTCCAGAGTATTCTTGGAGTGTTTCTAAACCTTCACATTGGTTTGGAAACCACCTCCAGCATCTTCATGGGTTGTGTCTAGACCTTTGTGCTGTGGTTGGCAAACAACCTCCAGCATCTTCATAGGGTGTGGCTGGACCTTCACAATGTGGTTGAGAAACTGCCTCCAGTATCATCATGGAGTGTGGCTGAACATTCATGTGGCTGGGAAACCACCTCCAGAATCTTTATGGGATATGACTGAACCTTCACATTGTGATCGGGAAAGTACCTCCAGCAGCATCATTGGGTGATGTTTAACATTCACATTGTGGTTAGGAAGCCACCTCCAGCATCATTATGGAGTGTGACTGAACCTTCACAGTGTTGTTGAAAAAATAACCTCCATCATCTTCAAGGGGAGTGGCTGACCATTCATTTTGTGGCTGGGAAACCACCTTGAGCATTTTCATGGGCCTAAACATTCACACTGTGGTTGGGAAACCACCTCCAGGATCTTCATGGGCTGTGGCTGGACCTTCATTCTGTGTTTTAAAAGCACCTTCAGAAACATCACAGGGTGTGTTTGAACATTTAAATTGTAGTTATGAAACCACCTTTAGCATCTGTATGGGCTGTAGCTGAACATTCACACTGTGGTTGGAAATCTGTTTCCACCATCTTCATGGGATGTAGCTGAACATCATCACATTGTAGTAGGGAAACCTCCAACATCTTCAGTGGGTGTGGCTGAACTTTAACACTGTGGTTCAGAAATCACCTCCAGGATCAACATGTGTGGCTAAACATCTCATTGTGGTTGGGAAACTGCATCAAACATCTGCATGGATGTGAGTGCACATCCCTTCTGTGGTTGTCAACCACCTCCACCATCTTCATGGGGCTGACTATATCTTTACGTAGTGGTTGGGGAAGTGTGCCCACCATCTTCAAGGGGTGTGGCTGAATCTTAAAACCATAGTTGGAAAATCACCTCCAGTGTCCTCAAGGCAGTAGATGAACATTCTCACTGTGGCTAGGAAACCACTTCCAGAATCTTCATGGAGTGTGGCTAAACTTTCACACTGTGGTAGCAAAACTCCCTCCAGCATCTTCAAGGAATGTAACTGAACACCCATTCTATGGTTGGGAAACCACCTCCAGCATCTTCATGGGATGTAGCTGAATATC